TAGGAATATTTTTTATGAGGAATATGCTCTCTCTCTCTCTCTCTCTCTCTCTCTTCGTTAAAGTCTCATTTCAGAACAATCAACTGGTCAGCCTATTTACCTTAATTCACGCCCAACACAATCTATATCCGAGAGTAGCTTGTAAGGGTATTCAAGACCGGAAGACAACGTAGGTCGCTCGGTAGATAGCGGATTAGTGTATGGATCTTGCAATTAGCTGCTCTTGTGTGCTTCCTTCCTTCTCGAGAACCTTACTGGTAACCTTACTTGTCACTCGCTGACCCTCTCTGCTTTTTACTCTAGTCTAGGACGACTAGTTCGAAGTTAATTACTGATCTATTGTATGTACATCGTGTACAAATTAATCTGAATGGAATTGAAAATGTTTTACAAAAATTGGAAATGGAAGTGGATGTTATTTCGAGATGTGGAATTGACAGGCCTAATCTCCTGAGATTAATCCATATACATCTTAATCCTTCCACCATCCTCGAATTTTTGTATTATTTCAAATCTCGCTCTCATTTTAGCCATTTAATTTATATTTAATGATATATTTTTCAACGGTCATTAACCGTTAATAATCACATAACGCCATTAGTTATCGACGTCATTGAAAATCACGTGACATTACAAACACGAGACCGATCGTTGTAACACCAGCGTTAGAAAAATCAAAGTTAAATACACGACAAATAGACGCATCGAGTATCGTCCAAAAATGATAAAAGGATTCCAGCACGTCGAGTCATTCTCAGTGTTATCGTCGTGTAGCCGCGTCGTATCGCGGACAGACGATGCGATCATTCCAGAAAACATGAAACGAAAGCAGAAACGAGGCATGTCTGACTTTCGATCCTGGGTGGTAGCAGGTTATCTCGGCTGTTGGCCGGGCTGCTGGTTGCATGGGCGGAGGCAGGGTTGTGCAGGCGGCCCCTCATTCGCTTTCCGGGTGCCACCCTTCTTTTCGAGGTTGCTGCGGCATATCCCCGGTTCAGGCTGCGGCAATCACGCACGTGCTCGCGCATGCGCTACCACGGCAACATTGCACGCATGGGCGCGTAAGTATACATGTAGGAGAAGCAGCACCCGTTTGGAGAACCCCTTTCGCGCCGAGGCTATCCAACAGAATGTCCCCTCGATGCTTGTAAATCGTATCGTTAGTATAATATCCATTGTATGGTGTGTACATCGTGCAATGTCCTGATAATAAATCAATATCTCCGCTACGAATAACCGAGATCGAATTTGGTGGTTGAAGTAGTTTGAAATAAAATAAAGATAAAGAATCAGGACATTTGCAATTGGTTAATTTCAGAATGATAAGCGTTTTAACTTCGTTTTTTTCTTTACATAAACGTTGGAAATTGAACTATCGCTTTATCTTTCTATAGCGAGTAATAATACCCGACCATTGCCATTTAGTAATTTTCCAACTTTTTCGCTTGAAAAATATATTACTTTCGCTGAAGCAGATAAGTGAATTATACCTTAGAAATATTCTGGCTTGTCGTTTTGTTTTGTTTAATAAACCCATCGACGAATCTCAAATTGACGGATGCGAAGCTGTAATGAACCCCTACAGCGGTAGAAAAGCCATTTCCCGTGGTTGATGGCAATTTGGAGTGCGCAGCGTGAAACGATTGCCTCGTAACAAATTGACATTTCGTTCCCGGCGAAGATAACGGGGAATTGAATTTTTCGGCGGCATTAAGTCGTCCAATAGTTCGCCATCGAACGTGCAATGTTAAGCACGTTGGCCGGTTTTATCAGTACGATTCACACGCGGCATTATCTCGTTATTTCTTTTGCGTGTTTTCCACCGATCGGTGTATTCCTTTTCGAAGGGAAATGATTTATTATGCGGACTTCTCCGCGCAATCGGTAAATATATGCACGCAATTTTACATACGTAATATGGATGAGATATTGTCAACACCGTCAAATAACGAGTTTACCTCGACTACGGCTAGCTATCGTTTGTTTCCTGAGCGAAAATGATATATCGCGCGAAAATAATGTATCGCGTGAAAAAAAGACCGATAAAAATGCGTCAGATAACAAATCTATAATAACTGAAATGTTCATTTTTTACGCGATAATGACAAATAAGGGAGGGGACGGAGCAGGAAAATGCGTGCAACTTAAGCATGCGAAATGAGGGAAACAACGAAATCGGTGTTGAAAGTTTGCTAAAATTCAGTTATCCTACGTATTGTGGTAAGAAGCTGTTACGTTAATTCATTAAGGACCAAAACTTAATGATTTATAAATTTCATCAAATTTCATGGAACTTTACAATCTGTAAAAATATTTTGTTTCTCTTGATCCTAATTTCTCTTAATACTAAAAAATACAATTTGACAATATAAACTAATGAGAAAGAAGTACAAATGAAACGTTGCATTATGGATTAATAAAATCACTGAATTCTAAAAAAAGAGACAAGAGAATTCGCGAATTACCTTTTGATAAATGTTGGGATCGAGCATAAATGTAAGGATCTTCCGATTTGTTCTTCTTTCCCTCCGTTTTTAGAAAGCACGACGTTATTGTAAATTACGAAACATTTATTTATTGATTCACTTTACTTCACGTATCTTGATCGATTTTTACGATCAATTATAAACATAAGCATCGGAGTGTGCCCAAATACGTTCTTATCGTACAGGCTATATACATTATCGATAGAATGATCAAGGAATATAATGTCACACTTAATAGAACGTTCTCGTAAACTCGTGCACTTGCTTGCTTAGAACAGGCTAATTACACTATGATCGCCATTCATCGTCGTTCATTTAGAATAGAACGCGATGCGTTTAATGCTTCTTAACACCTCTACAGTTCTATATTTAATCGGATAAACATCGTTTTGGTATATCGTCACAGCGACTCTGTGCATTTACATCAACGTTTGATTGCTATTCTCTCTCTCTCTCTCTCTCTCTCTCTCTCTCTCTC